TCAAGGAGCGCCGGTTGAGCATCGAGATTGCCATCACGGCGTGGTTGGAGTGTATGATCTTCAAATAAAAGGAAGGAACCCTGAGTAGGGGTAACCACCGGAGCACCTTGAATGAGAGAGCGTGCCCTCAACTATCTTCTGGTCAATCCTCCATACAGCCTGGCGAGTGAGAAGATCCTAACATGATGTCATGAAGAAGAGGCTCAGAAGTAGGTTCAAGAAATTGGAATCCTAGTTAAAGAAAGTAACAAGCAAACGAGGTGGCTAGCCTGTCGGATAGGCGAGCTTGTGTGCTAAGTTGCAGGTCACCTTGGAAAGCTTCAATTGTCAAAAGATTTTCACAACAAAATGTGTAAAGTGTCTCAAAAATTATGGACCGACCTAAGAATTAGTTGAAGAATAATTTTGGAAAAAAATGAAATGTGCCAATGACTTTTTCTAATAAATAATAAAGGATAAAGCATTTGCCGTTGATCAATCCCTTTTGGGATGCGGCACGCATTCTACTTCCATTTGTACATTCGCAGTGGCGTTTGAATGCGATGTGGCCTATACAATGACTTGCGGGGCCAGCCGATGTTACAAGTCAGTGTTTTTTTTTCCTCCCAGACATGCATCCACCCCGCTCATTATGGGCGGAAGTGGTGCAGTGACAAGTGGCGCGCTCACCACGCGAGCGGTCCGGGATCAAATCCTGGGTCGTGAGTCGCCCGGGCCAACCAAGCCTTCCATCCCTCCGGGGTCGGTTAATTGGTACCAGACTTGTCTGGGAGGATAAAAACACTGACTTGAACATCGGCTGGCCCCCGCAAGTCATTGTATAGGCCACATCGCATTCAAATGCCACTGCGAATGTACAAATGGAAGTAGAATGCGTGCCGCATCCCAAAAAGGGATTGATCAACGGCAAATGCTTTATCCTTTTATTATAATATAATGTATTCTACAAACGCCATGAAGTTTGAGAAGGATATGGTTACATTCTCCCGGCAGTGGAATATCCAAATTTAGATTGGTTTTAAACAGTGCTAGGGCTCGACAGTAATTGAAGGTTACTCACAGCAAGTCTTGTATGCCGAAAATAACTAAATTCATAGGCTCTTTGAATCCATAACAGGATTCCGGGGGAAAATTTAAAAATCGGATTGACCCAGAGCACGGGACGATGGAAAACAAACTATGCTGCGTAACTTTTTAAGAGGCTTTGCAACTGAAAAAAACAATAATCGTAGAATTCGGCAGTGAATCTGGGAATAATCTAGAAATATTCAAAATTATTTCCAGTTTCGGTGTCTCCCTCCAGACATGCCAGGCTCTCTGTGGTGCAGTGACTTTGAACTGTTCTGTGTTCCACATTCGTGGATGGAAGTCGTTTCTTTAAGTTTCCATTCTTTTTTAACGAAATCGCCAGAATGAATTTCTGAAGCGTTTTACTGAGTACCAATGTTTCCACCCAGTTTTCTTCAACTCGTTATTTACCAATGAAAACATCATGCACGGAAACGCAATCGCATGGTCTTTTCTCCCTCAGCTAGATAACCATCCTTGACGATAAGAGCAAAAGAACGGAGAAGTCTCGTTGATCTGTTGAACAGTCTGAAGAACTGAGAAATCTTTCAATCGTTCAAATTCGCGTTGAGGTACAGTCAAAGATTTTGATGGCAGAGACGCTTCCATTCGTCCTTTGCGTTGTTTTTTTATTGTTTTGTTGGGTTGAATTTTTTCCTTCTTTCTCTTTTTGACCTAGCTCGATGGGCGTTTCCCAGTGTTTCCACCACAACTGACGGCATGTCTCTAGGCGTATAAATAAATAAACAAATAAATGAAGTAACTGAGGAAATCTTGGCCTCCTGATCTATAACCTCTAGGGCATTCTGGTCCGTCCGCTGACCGTTTTACACGTACTTTCCGGATCCGAAATTTTTAATTTACTCCCTCCTAGCAAAGAGTCGCTCCCTGCCTCCGCATGGAGGTCCCTGAATGTCCACAAAGGGCGAAATTCGAAGAGTTGTATCTTTAGTAAAAACTGCATTTCCATGCATGGAACTTTCTATGCTGCAATCTCTGATCACGCATTATGCATTCGTGTAACACTTTTTTGGGCACGATTCCCTTAATAATTTCTCGCGCTGAAAAAAAGGTGTGTGTAGATCGTTGCTGATATCTATCATCAGTCACTTGTTCTTTAAAGGAAGCGATTACGATAAGGAATTTTCGCATCGGGGGAGAACCTGCGCCACACGGAGCAATTACTTGGCTGCCAAGGAAGCGATGTGTGGCCTCCCACGGCGAAAGGTGCTGTGGTTGCTGAGCAGGACCCGTGTGACGCCCGCCCCCAGTGACGTGACGCCCACTAGTTTTGTTGATGATCTGGATGGACTGTTTGCTGTTGGCTTTTCATTTTGGATGATCATTTCCCTTCTAGCGGCTGTATCTTCCAACTTGCCCACGTATTGCCTTATCAATCAAAACACTATGCTTGTTGGCATGATGGCGGCTATCGGGGTTAACACGTCCGAACAACGTCATTCTTTACCGTCGCTCATCCATGGTCGAAAATGAAAGGGCAATCAAAGGGGTACTATTTTGCTTATTTTTGACGGATTTCTTTGCTTTTTTCGCCATTGGCGTACTATTGAGACCCCCACGTCCCCTCTAAACCCCTTTGAGATCTATCGTAATCGCTTCCTTTAAGCTTATTCTATCTGCAACTGCCTAGAAAATTTGTTTTCTCCGAGAGTGACTATTACGAACCGATTCGAAAGAGTTGATTTCAGCAAATGCACATAATTCTCCTGTGCATGGCAACATGGGTCCAGAGTGTCGTGTGTGATGAACTCGTTCTTGTGCAAACGGTAAGGCTCGTATCGATATTTGCCCTTTCTGGCGAAATACCGCATCACGGTACTAACTCCAAACTCCGTGGAAGAATAAACTATCATCGATAACTGTTAAGTAATTCTGAACTATTGATTTTAACATTTTTTGATTGTTAGTTGCTGTTTTGGGCCGCAGTTCCCTATTCTCCTCATATCACAACAACGTTTGATTCGAAGACGATTAGGAGCACAAGGTTCCATCAAAGGTACATCGCATCAAAACAGGGTCAAGCGTCCGTTTGCACTATTCGAACGAGGGGGTCGCATTTCGGGATTGGGCAAGGTTACCATAGTAGAGATGGAGGTTGACGGTGCTCGTTGAAGGTGTTGTGTTTGAACGAGTGATGCGTTTGTGATATCTATTTACCCCCACCCCCTCGACGGCGGTTTTGGAGGAGAGTTAGGTAGACAAATGCTATTGAAACAAAGATGGATGGCGAGGGTGGCGGTCGGGGAGCGGAGAGGTTCATTGGGGGAGCCTCCTAAGACTGCTGGTGGTGGGAGCGGGTTGAAAAAAGTTTCGAAAGTGCGAACGTGACGGTTGACCCTGCATGGAAATAGCTACGATTTAGCAAAACTCTTAAAGGCAAAAGTCAGGCTCGTGTTTGGGCATTATGGCGCCTGAAATTGAGTGTAGAGATGGGAGGTGGAACGACAGTGAAGAAAAAACGAAAGAAACCGTCGACAAGACCGAAATCGAAACCCCTTCCCTTCTAGCAGTGAAGGAGGCTTGCTCGGGGGAGAGCCACGTCCAAACGAGTTTTCCGGATATGCCAGCCGTTCCATCGGTTGATACGGCAATCAACCTAGCTGATCTCACACGTTAGGCCAGCCACGCACCACATCCCGCGGTGGGCGGGACCAGCTGATGTAACGAACCCATCGCTGTAAGTAGTAGGCCAGAGGCCTTGACGGCGCGCAATCTCGAGTCAGGAGTGTGGCATCACCCCTCTGAGCGCATTCCTGGAAATATTAGTGATGGAAAGGCCTTCTATGGTCACCTAATCCTGACTCGTGGCTTTATAGAAAAGTTAAAAAACGACAAGATTTGCCGTGATAGTTCGAAGGCATTGGTCACGTCGCCCAAAGGGTGGTGGGGTTTTGATAGCGCCATTAGTGGAGGGATGGCGCTCCCATTCACGGGCGCTGTGAGGGGTCTAGTCCATCAGTGACATTCAGTGACGTCGCCAAAGCCATCGTGATCACTGCCTTTAAGCTCACGCGGGAAGGCAGCGGCAGATCCGACCGGTTGACCGATGAGGTGCGCACCCTCGATATGCAAAGCACTCCGAATCATAAATTTGCAAAGCCAAATTTTAGGATTTCTTAACGAAGTTGCTAAATGCTTTTTTCAATGATCCTCTGCAAAAGATGCAACAATAGCTTCTTGATTAGGGGCGGAGGAGCGGCGGTAATATATAGGTTGTCGGAAAAGTCTTTGCGCATTTGGCAACTTTTTTTCAAAATTGTTTTTCTTCTTTAGTGCAGCCAACAATTGCTGAATACATACACCACAATAATCGTCGAAACATTGCTCTTCAGCAGGCAACTTCAGGTTGCCGGCCCTTCAGAAATCCCGAGTCTTTGGGGCGAAAAGCTCAAAGAGGTTGACTCCGAGTAGGTCCGGATCATCGAACTGCCCCTATTTCAGTACCTTCGACGGCAACAGAAGCGTATGGTGGCCCGTCTCTACCAGGTTGCTGTAAACACTAACCAGGGAAGGCATTCAACTTCCCATGGAACTTCGAATTGAGACCCAGATATATCGATAGAGCTTCAAACGCTGATTACAAATATGGAAACTAAAACTGCAAAATGAACCTGCCAAGGAAGTTGTGAGCAGTCAAAGTTGGCTGGAAGTAAAGCGTTACATATGAACCGTGCTAGTTCCAGGCTTTCAATGTCGCCGCGGAGCAGTGGTAGTGCCCTCGCTCTCCACCCGGGAGGTCATAAGTTCTCTTCCCGTTGGAGTGCAAATTTTGAGAGCACTACCACTACTCCACGGCGACTTTGAAAGCCCGGAGGCTAGCACGGTTAATACGTAACGCTTTACTTAGCCAACTTTGACTGCTCACAACTTCCTTGGCAGGTTCATTTTGCAGTTTTAGTTTCCATATTTGTAATCAGCGTTTGAAGCTCTATCGATATATCTGGGTCTCATTCAAAGTTCCATGGGAAGTTGAATGCCTTTCCTGGTAAGTGGGTCGGATTATTCTATAACGAGCTTGGAGACCTTTCCTGAACCTTCTTCGTAATTCGTGGGCGAGCGTTGCCGACATAAAGTAAAGTTTCTCCGATTTTCCGGGCACCATGCCGGGAAACCAATCCACTTGCTAACATTATTGTTCACCAATAGCAGTGGACTTCGTTGGCAGCAGCTCTCCGTGAGCGAAACATTTGCAGCCTCATGAGCTTTCAATGTTGCCTCCCAGGTTGCAGTTCTCGAATCGGCGTTGCAATCCTTTGTTCTACGCATCCGAGCCAGTCGTGCTTTCGCGTGCGGTTTATCTGAGGATCCCACTTCTTGACACCACCAACAAAGTTGGCGGATCAAGCGATAGACGGGCGGCAAATCGAAATGTTCTTGCAAAATTCAATGGTCTCATATTGAGGAACAGCCATTGTGGTCTGGTAGCACTGAAAGAGCTCCGCCAATTACCGTGCATTGCACTAAGCACTCTCTCCAATCGAATTCAGAATACACTCGTCAATGAGGATGGCAGGCCGACCAGATTTGTGGTTTTTTCTCAAGTATCTGGAACTCGGCAACCAAATAATTGGCATATTGTGAAAGATAGTTCGGAGGTCCATCACAACACGTAGAACTCCCACTGCTTCGCTTCAATCGACGCATTTTGTGGGCTTATAAAGGCAGGAGCAGTCGAACATACCTTCAGTGAAAGGCGATTTTTAAGCTTCAAACGCTGCGAAATGCTACGACAGAAATGCTGTGGAGAGAGCATTAACCACCGCTCACATGCGTTTAACAGTGAATGTTCAAAACGATCCCAAAAGATTTTGCAAGGTGAACAAGAAAATGCGCAAGAACTTTTCCGACAACCTAATATATTCTGTGTTCACAGGAAGGAGACCGTGAGATCGAATTCTTGTTGGACATGCGAAATGCATTCTGCTATTTGCTTAGGGAAAGGGGGGTGGTTGTATGCGACCACTAACAAGCTTAGGAAGTGTTAGGTTGTCATGATTAGTGAATCACCTTACATTTATTGCTGTAAAAAGTCCTTGAAAAATAATGAAGGTGTGATATGTTTTGCAAAGCAGCACCCACCCTCGCTTACCTGAGCAATTAGGCAGCCAATTAGGTATTTCTCCCAGGTACTACTTCAATTTTTCTAGACCTGGGTGTGTTTCAGTTTATCATTTATTTCACTCTGCTCTGCTGGTCTTCTTCCAAATAAACGACTCCTGGATCGAAGTTATCAACACAGCCGGAAGGCAGTACAAACAAGTATAAATCCAAAATGGGCAGGCTGGCATTTTGAAGACATTCGGAAGGTTCCCAAAGAATGAGTCCATAACCACGGCTCACACAATGTAATCGAGATGAGCGGCTCCTTTTTGCGAGGAACGAGATGGGCAAGAGATGGACAACGGTCCAGCTCAATGTAAAATTTCACTTTCTCGCCTTCTTTTCCCTTACAGTTTTTTTTCCTAAGGGGTGAACGATCAACGGAGGCAGGCTCGATTCAAGCCACTCGTATTGGCGCAGCCTAAGGAGAGCCACCGTTGATGTTTCGAGAAAAAAAAACTTTGGCGCCTTCTCATTAATGGTCTTTTAGGAGGGGCATCCTGTAGTGATACAACTCTAATTTTCTTCTTGTGAAATGAAAAGCCAGGACTATCAGTCACTGCGTATTCATGCAGGACAATGTTTCGACCAGCGCTTCGCGAAGTTTTTACTTTATTCTACTTGCACTGTTATACCATCTCATCATTGTCATGGTTGTTATGCGGTCCCTCAACCCTATCGAGAATATCTGGGGTCTATTACTGCGCAGAATTTACGCAAATGGGGAAGTGTAGGACGCTATAAAACCTCTGCGATTGATACTTGGTATATTTTCAAGGTTATTCAGAAGACAGGGTGCTAACTAATTATTTGAAGGAGATAGATCTCAGCAGCGGCTTGAAATCTTGTGTGAAATTGCTGCCAAAATTTAAAAAAAAAGCTGTGGTATCAAATAATTGTCACGAATACTATTATATTTTGTCTGTTTTCAAAACAATTGCCAGCACATGCAATAAAAATTTCGACCTTTCTCAAAAATCAGTTTTTTCAGGAAGTGTGATCTAGTGCGTACCGCAGTAGGTTAGGTAGTAAGGGAGTACAGTAGATCAGCGAAGCTTTGAGACCAATCGTGAACAGGATGCGCACATGGAGTGCTCTTGATTCCAGAATCGATCGACTGGCATGGTTCGAGATAAATTTAACTCATTAAGGTATTCCGACATGGCGACCGCGCTCCAATGGCAGGCAGTACTTCTCGAGAATCAGAGAGCTACTACTTCAGAGGCAAGGAACAACTTACCGATGTAGGTCACATTGATCAAAGCATTGTGTATCTGCGAGCTTTGTTATCTAAGAGCGTCATCCCTAATTTAGAGTTGGTTGAGGATGAATATAACAAGACCAAGACGCTAATCTTTCCCTAATACTTCTCGAAAGTAAAGACGTGATCATGGCATAGTTAAGGAGAAACGAGAATTGAATTCGGAGTGGATGAAGAAAAGCTTGGGCTAATTCATACAAAAAAGCAACTGAAAAATGTGTACATCAGTCGTACCGCTTGGCTGTAGCTCTGTTCATCCTGCTGTGTGGCAGGGTGGAAACTAAAATGAGGACCTGGCGTTTGTTTTACAGGAGCTTCAGCAGGTGAGCATCCATGCACACCAGGGAGCTCATCTTCTATACGAGACGATCAGGCTGATGTGAGTGCAGCTCTTGAAAGACTGAGAAATTCGATTTCGTGGAGGGCTTCAAATTGTGAAGAGTTTGGATTAACACCTTAATTCCTTTTACATAACTATACAGTGAACTCGATGAAAAAGCAGATGATCGTGTCGACAATTGGGATGACTTGGAGTCGAACTTACAGCATTAGCTGGCATTGCATCAAAATTCAAACCACCTTTGCTTTTTCCACCATTTGGATCGCTTTGGAGCTCATTTGACAGCTTGGGTTCAAGTGTCTTTGGAAAGAATCAGTGGACACTTCTGCAAGACAATGTCAAAAACACAAGACAGGGGTTTCAATGACGTGGTGCCAACGATGCCTTGCTATCCATGCAGAGAGTCCCTTTCCGGCAAAAAACATGCTAAAAGCCTTACCAATACGTCAACGAGTTGGGAAAATAGCTCCACATAGGAGCCGTTACCCGTTACATGTCCACGGTATGGTTTGTAAAATAGACACTTCCCTTGTAGGGGAAGACGGCCACAACCGGAATTGAAGTCGATCCATTTTGTCACCGTTGAATAAGAAAGTTTTCGATGATCCTTTGTGCGTTTTTGGCGGTAAGGCATCATAGTTTTATCCTTTTAAAATAATTTGAATCGTCCGAATATGGAACAGAAAAATTGTTCTTTCTCTTTGCTGATACATCGATTTTCAGAAAGGACTTCAACAGGCTCATCAACTGGGAGTGAGCCTGCGACGGCGATACGTCGACAACGGTTTCCTTGATGCGCGGTACCTCCCATCTCAGGTGATTCCTTCAAAATATTAACTAAATGTTTTACTGAGTGGGAAAGGAAATTCCGATATTCATATGCAGTTAATACTTGTCTTCGTGTCAATCCGTGCGTCTGCTTCTCGGAAATGTACAGAAAGCATAGTTAGCCAAACTAGCCGGGTTGTGTTATCTCTTGATCTTGAACAGTACAGTACAGTAGTTTCTCATGTGCAATAAAACTTGCTAGACTTGGTAGTAACTGTCACTGTAGCGGGTGAAGCTGCATCGATTGCTCTGGGTGTGCACCAAAATCTTCGTTTTCAATCCTTATCCTCGAGTCTCCACGGATCTCTTTCACTGAGGGTCCTCTCTCACTGAAAGATCTCGAGCCGGTTGGTGGCGAGGCTACGTGGCGCGACCCCAGGTGGCGGATAGGGGGTAAATCGCGGACCAAAAGCCACCATGTACTTGCCCTGAGACGCAGGTGGATTCAGGGGATGGACTCCCTGTTTCTGTAGTGCTGTGTTGATTCATACCAGCTGTCTCCACTCAGGCGCATGCATGCTTGCGTGTGTGGTGCGCTCTGTGTGTGCGGTTGGTATCCTCGGCACAGCCATTCAAGTGACTGGGAAGTACATGGGAGGCGATTCGGGGCCGCCTCCAAAAATAAGCCCCTTGTTCCGCTCCAGGATAGCGTGGCTAACTACCTGGAGGTCTATCCTAGCCCACACGACAGAGCCTGGCAAGCTACTCGTGTGCCTTCAATATGCCGAAACAGCAATATGGATGGGCCTCATTCCCCTGAACCTGAGGGAGCCCCCAATACGGCAGCGTTGGGTAGGACCGCTCGGGAGAGGCTGCTAGAATCTCAGGGCCCGGATAGGCTGCCTAAACGAAGAAGGACTAAGATGGCGATCTGTACTTTCAACGCACGAACGCTTGCATCCGAAGCTCACATCGAATCTGATGATGCAGGCCAGGAAGATCAAGTACGACGTCATCGGACTGACCGAGACGAGAAGGCACCGCCCGCTACACGCCGTTTTCGATACTGGAGAAGAACTGTTCCTTGGAACATGCGACAGCAGAGGCGTTGGCGGTGTGGGTGTCCTCGTCAACACGCACTTGGCCATAAACATCGATTCGTACGAAAGCCTTACGACCCGAATCGGACGTTTGAGATTGAGAAGATGTGGTTCAACTCCTGCTTTGACAATCTTCGTCGCCTACGCACCAACATCCAGCTACGACGAAGAAGAACACGAAGCATTCTATATGGAATTGGAGAAGTTCTACAGGGAAGATCATAGTAGTAGAAGTAGATGCGGAACCTTTTGATGGCATATGTGTTTTGATTGAAATAATCAACGTAAAATTGCTTTTGAGGTCCATTGCAGCTAGTTCTGACAAATTTCGCTTTTTCATTGTTATTCCATGTCTTTCGATCGAAATTCCACTACTGTACCCCTGGTAGGTTGTGCTCATTACAATTTACTGATTGGTTTTGTATTGATCATTTTTATGTACCAGATTAGTCCCCCGTCAACCGCCGGGACCTTCCTTTCCTGCGCAAGCTTTCTATCCTCCGCTATGGTCCCTTCCTCCTGTGACACCAACACCTCCTGGAAGTGACGCGTATGCAACACAATGGTGTTTCATACAGTAGAAGGGACACAATCATGATATGACGGTAGATTTTTCGCTTCCCTTCCTCATCCTCCCTTCCTCTCTCCACTGCCCTCCAGCTGCCACTGCAGCACCATGTGGAATGAACGGAAGTGTGCTAAGCAGGTGTTTATATAGCCCTAAGAGTGTTATCACAACTATCCTGCTACAAAACATTGATATCTCAAATCCTGTAAGCTACCCGATTTGTTAGCGGTTTGTTTATCCCATGAGCTTCCTTCTCACTCACTTCATTTTGCGGACGGACACACATACATACATACATACACACACACACATACAGATACACAAACCGACACACAAAGTTAGCGCTTTATAAAATAGAAGGATATCACTCAAAATCTGTTGAACGTCGACGTGTTAACACGTTGACGACATCGCGCGTTTTGGGTTTTTGCACCGCGTGGGACCAGAGCGATTTTGCGAGCGCCGCCGCCGCACACCAAATCCATGGATTTTGAGCTGTAAATACGCAATACTTAGATGCGAAAAGTGTTTTCAATGATGTTCGATCTGTCTAACTTATCGAGGTTACAGTAATGGAAGTTCGACCGAAACATCCTTCTAACAAGGGAAGGATACCAAGTCGAAGTGGCCATCCGTAATGAAACCTATACTCAGAGATGTGTTTTCGGACGCTGATCTCGAATCCACTCTCCAAATTTGCGAAACGATTCTCTGAAAAGTGTTACGGAGGTTGTTTCGAATGAAAGCCCACTGTAAGACTCCGGCAGACCTCGCCTTCCAGCGGTGGCGGTGGCCAAAATTATTCAGTATTGAAATTTTTACTGCGTCCAAAGCTAACGCATGTTTAGAGGGGTTTTTAACGCATTCCACTTTTTTCGTAATGTTTCGACCACTGTCGGGGTGTTTCTACGCCACGGAAGTGACGTATATCCGACGATGGGCTAAACAAATGGGAGATGCTTGCTCAACGGACCAAACTATCTTTGAAGGCTTAATTCTAGAAAGCTGACATTTGGACCCAATTTCGAAACTCGGTCTACAATGAGTCGTAGGTGTTATCCCTAGCCCCAGCCACTACCCTCCTGCTCCTCCTGGGCAGCGAGCGTGTACATGAAAAAATATCATATTAATCTTCGGATGGCACGAGCAAGTAGAGCAGGCAACTATATCTCTTTCACAATAATGACTGAAAGTTTAATTCAATCCCACGATCAGGCTCTGACAGTGGGTTGATGGATAGATGACTGCCCACATTTTCGACTTCAAGTCAAAATTTTAGATTTGGACCAAATGTTGTTGAAAGGGGTGTTTCGACGCGCTGAACACGAATATCGCATCTGCTTGGCACGAAATTGCCTTACGCGTGCGCTACGGGTGTCAGAGGCGGTCACTTGCAAATGACGCGCACAGTGCTCGAAGCTCTTCGCCAGCTCTGTTTACTTGTGCTATAGGCAATCGCTGATAACTTAGCATGGATAAGAGTCCCTTAAGCAACGTTCACAAGAAAAGCAAAAGTGAGAACTCACCAAGAACTCAAACTTACGAGCGAGATTTTGCAGTGGCAGCGGTACGGCTCACGACCTCTCGCCGCACCGCTGCCACTGCACTATCTCGCTTCATAACCACGTTCAAAGAGTCGTTTCGCAGATTTGGAGAGCAGATTTGAGATCAGCGTCCAAAAACACATCTAGTGGTGTATGTCTCGTTACAAATGGCCACTTCGACCTGATATCCTTGTAAGGCCATGAAAAGGCAAATTTTACTTATTTCCCTTTAGTGGTTCCAAAATTAATTTGGACGTGGTTGTTTCAGTAAAAACACATATCTTCCCATACGAATAGGTTTGTATTCTTCTATTATTCCTTTTTATCAACATGTTTACGTTAATGAAAAGAAAACGAGGAATGAACTGAACAGACATATCCGTAAGGTCTGGAAAACCTCTATCAAACTGAAGGATATCTCACTTGTCTGTGTGGCCATGTGGTTTTCAATGTGGCCAATGCGAATGTGTGGCCCATAGAATGAGTACAATGAACTTAGGAATAAGTCACGCAAGCATATAAAGAATGATGACCTGGGTGGGAAGCGTTACTGGGTCACGATATCCCACAAGGTGTGCAAAGTGAGACGCGCACGCTGTTGTCAACGTGTTGAAGTGTTGAAGAAGCAAGGTGATCTACAAAAATATTTATAAGAAGCCTCTGTTTCCAAGTATAAAGTCCCTGGGCAAGAGGAGTTCGGCAGCAGAATTTCCTCTCTCTGTCAGCTCATTCGCAATTTTGTGGGCATTCCGGTGAGGTAACATTACCTCATTAGGTGCCTGAACGACGTGAGTTTTCTACACTAAGACCGCATTTAAGGGGAACCAATGGAAGGGCAAAAGCAGTGAAGTGATTTCACTTGATAGCTGTCCTGATGCCTCCCTTACTAACTTTGCGGTCTTTTGTACACGCATCGAGAAGAGGAGAGACCGATAGCCGATTCGGCGTAGAAAGCCGAGGGACTTCTAGAAACGCGAGTCCAGAGATGTTGACTATGTGGATGCCCTCGTCCCCACCCAGCGGCCATAAACATCGAGTCTTGTGAAAGCTTGAGACCCAAGTCAGAAGCTCGCTGTTCAGAAGATAGCTCCACTATGGCTTTGACAATCTTCGTCGCCTACGCACCTAACATCCAGCTACGATGAGAATAAGCTCGAAGCACTCTAGATAGTGTTGAAGAACTTCTACAAGGAAGAGCACATCGTTTTCAGGAGATTGTCGGCGTTCTCAACGTCAAGGTTGACCTTAGATGACCTGCTGAAGAATTCCATCGGTACTCAGTGAGCAGGGGAAAGAGCATCAGAGTTCATCTGCCGACCAAAACCGTCCATGAAAACTCGCCGCGATTATCACATGAGGATAAATTTTGGAGCAGCTTCTCGTTTCTTACTCAGAGCCTCATGCGTGTCTACAGCACGACTAGAATACAACCATGACCTAGATGTAATAAAGGAATGAACATTTTGTTGTTCTCAGAAGGTGAGGGTGAGCTGATCATCGAGCGTTGGTGTCCTACACGATGCCCATGATTTTAAGCATTTCCTTGACTGTTTTCAGTAAAGTGAAAGTTGACAATAATCAACAGTTTCGTTTGCAGGTGGTGTTCAGGAGCAGTCCCGTGGAGCGTTGCCTTATGACAGCATCTGCTGCAGCATCTGCAATGTTCAATACCACCGAATACGGACAATCAATCGCTATCCCAATATTCACTGTTCCCAAGAAGGATGACTACGTAATCGTAGTTATGTTATCAGCGTAAATGCTGGTCTACTTGTGGTACTTTCAGGTTTGCGTCCCTCGCCTCGAATGCCCATTCGTAGTGAGGGAGATGGCTGAACTCTTTGGGATTTTCAAACCCTTCGCCACCAATGGTATGCTTCCTTTGTTTTCTCAGCATGGCTTGAGAATCGACTGGGAAATCATAACGTGACTTTTTCCAGTATGACATGCTGATCGAATTGTTAAAGCAGGAATCGGAACGGTTAAACTACACCCGTGTAGTTGGCAATCGATTGCACGTGTTCGAGCCGCTGTTTCTCGAGGTACAACAACTTCCTTCTAACGTGCATTCTTGGGCAAATGTGTATCATCTCAATGTAACATGGATTTGCTTTGTAATTGCGAGAAAACTGCATCATCTTTGGTCATTGAACCACGTTGCGCCAGCGCCATGCTCTCCACAGAAGTGTTTCGGGGGTTCACCAGGCGAAGGAGTGGCGTCAGGGTCGGGGTGAAGGTTTTGCGAGCAGGGTCTATGTCACGTTCGCTGCCCGCCACCACTCCACGCGTAGGACTCAGAAGCCTTGGTGTTCTAAGGCTACGACTTGTAGTAGCGCGTAATGAGTTTAACTATCTGTTGCTCAGGCTCCGTAACAATCTTCCACCGACCCGGCTAAAGGATTGTCACAAATGTTGGCGCCGAGGAGGCTTCCATTTGTTCCTTGTGGTGCCGTCGTATGAATTCGTTTTGACCTCCTCAACATGAACCTTCCACATTCGTTTCGCATCCATATCTATCGCGCTAGAAATTTTTGTTCTTTCCTACGGCATGTAGTACGTGACCACCTCATCGCTGAGTGCATCCCTTTGACTCACAACATGTTTAACTTTCCGAAAAGTGTGGTTATGAAGTGGTTCCGTTTCTTTCATAAGACTTGGTTCGCTGCAACTAGTGATCTCACATGGTGCACATGGAAAGAATGCAACAAATTCTCGTGCACGATTCCTTGAAGGCAAGTCGCGGCATAAGACTGGTATTTGAGCTCGCCTCGTAGTAATGACCCAGCTGAGGAAAGGAGTGACAGGCAAAGGAAAGCAAGAGAAATCATCGGAAATGCGAAATTAAGGCCTCAATCTCAAGTGAGGTCGACTGTGGTACGACTGCAAGACGGAGAAGGAAGGCAGAACACACACACACGCTAATCCCGGGGCTTCCCTTCAAAATAACGTTCTGCGACTGAGCAGATATGACCCTTTACATGCGCGCATAAAGCCGAATGGAAATGTAGTTGTGGCCATTAATCCGCCCATGATGAAGAGGGGGCGGAAGTGGTGTAGTGGCAAGTGGCACCACGCGAGCGGTCCGGGGATCAAATCCTGGGTCGTGAGTCGCCCGGGCCAACCAAGCCTTCCATCCCTCCGGGGTCGGTTAATTGGTACCAGACTTGTCTGGGAGGATAAAAACACTGACTTGTACATCGGCTGGCCCCCGCAAGTCATTGTATAGGCCACATCGCATTCAAACGCCACTACGAATGTACAAATGGAAGTAGAATGCGTGCCGCATCCCAAAAAGGGATTGATCAACGGCAAATGCTTTATCTTTTTTATGATGAAAGAAGAAGGAAAAAGTGCTAAACAACTACCTGGAATTACATAGCCCCATACATGCAGTGCGTTCCAAAAGTATGTGGACACATAATTCGCGAAAAAACGTATCTAAGAGGCATCCTGTCAAGCAACTCTGCCAAACAGTAAAGAGTATTAAGCAGTGCTCCAATATCACCTGTTGCCTTTCTTAGAGGAGCGCAGCGAAAATTGCATTTTAGCAACAGGACCACGTGTCTTTCAATGTTCCGCAATCTACCAAAGAATGGCCTCAAACGAAATGGTGCTGAAGCGATAGATTGGCATGTGTGTTCTCCTTACTGCAACCCTATAGGTACCCTTATGCTAGACAGGATGTTTGAGTCTAATTAGACACTC